GACTGCTAACCACAAGGTCAGTGTTCAAATCTACCAGCTATTCTCTAACATGCTATACAGGGTTGCTGTGAGTCAGAACCTACTCAAAGACACACAGCAACAAGAGATGAACTGATTTACTTTATAACTTTATACCTAAATGTCCAATTAACACCAGAGTTTTGCTTCATTTCAATGTGCTTTAAAGGTTCTCATCTTTTAAACCAGTTGATGAAAGTGGATCACTATCTTTTTAAGTGCCGTCAAGTCGGTTTTGACTCATAGCGACCCTGTATGGGTTTTCCGAAGAGCAGCTGGTGGGTTTGAACTGCTGACCTTGTGCTGATCCTACAGCGCCACACCAGGAGGTAAAATTAGAATCTATATAAGTGAGGTATATTTTCCATAGATGTGCAACAAATTCAAAATTTTCTACTTGGTTAAAAGTTTCATTATTTTACCTGAAACTAACGTCAATCCCATAGCTTGTGTGTTAATTCAGCACATATCCACTGAGCACCTGCTCTGTGCCAGCACAAAAGTTGTGTAGCCGTGAACAAGGCACCCTTCTATCCCAGTCCCCAGGGTGGGCCCATAGGTAGAGTTGTTGTTGTTGTTAAGTGCCATTGAGTCAGTTCTGACCCATAGCAATCCTGTATAGAGTTTCTGAGGAGAGACTGGTGAACTTGAATTGCTGACCCCGTGGTTCAAACAGACTTTGCAGTCCAGTGCATTGATCCACAGCGCCACACCAGAACTCCATAGGTAGCATACAGGGGGACATTTCAGTATCCCAGAAGCCAGTGTCCTGCAATGCCCAAGATAAGCCACAGAAGGCCAACAGCTATTGGAATTCTTGTTAGAAAAAGAATGAACAGCAGAGATAATTGCTCACACACACACACACACACACTCAAAAGGGTTTTCATAAAGAATTCATGCTAAGAGATGATTGAAAAATAAAGACCATTCCTATGAAGGTGTTCATCATGGTGGGCCTTCAGTCATAGGTGGATGAAAGTTTAGTGTGTCTTTTCCAAAAATGCTTTGCAGTACCTAACATCCTGCAGGTACACAGCCTCAGAGTCAGAGTTATTCCCATAATGCTGTTGTTGAGTGCCATTGAGTTGGTTCTGACTCATAGTGATCCTGTATAGGGTTTCTGAGGAGTTGCTGGTGAGTTTGAACTACCAACCTTTCAGTTCAAACCAATCTGCAGTCCAGTGCTTATCCTATAGTGCCACACCAGGACTCCATTCTTATGATAGTTGGTTTTTGTAGATCATAGCTTCCCAAGTAGATTAATTTTAGCTTTGCAGTTTTTAACTTGGTTACCTTTTCTATTAAATCTCTCAGCTTGCTTTCTTTCATACTATAGGATGCAATCAAATGTGGCAACGTATTCTTGGGGAACTTGTCAGGCAAGGTGCTTCATAGGAATACTATGCTTCTTCAGGCAGCTGTGCCCTTGATATTCAGAAAGTTTTCCTCTTTCAAATGTAGATATTGCTTCATGGTCTGCCCTCCACGTATCTAAAACGTTTTGATCAGGTACAAGTTTTCTAAAAATTGTTTTTGTAATGGGTGATGGACAAATACTACCCAGACATACAAACAGCATGGATTGGAAACCAGCTCTGCCATCTTCTCGTACACTGAGAGGTACCAAGGGATCAGAATTCCTAGCCAGAACCTTCCATTCTCTTTTAATTCCAGTTTTCCACAAATTATTGAAGGCCCCTTGTAATAGTGGGAAAACAGATCATTTTAATTCCTGAATCTCCAGAAAAAGATGAATATCAATATACAATATTTCTTTATGCCTGTTCTCCATTTACACCTTCCAGCCTAGCTCTCCTCTTAACCTCACCTACTGTCTTCTTCAAGATACTTTCAAAACTTCAAAAACACATTTTAGACAGTTCTTCATGACACTTTCACTCTCATTTCCCAAGGCAGCAATGGGCAAAACAATATAACAATATGATTATCATTTCTTTTCTCAAAACTTCCTCAGAATCAACATCTGCCAACGTAATGTAAGCATTCCATTTCCGATAGTTCCTTGGTTTTCTGAATTTCAATGTTGCAATGTGACTTCCATTATCCGTGACACAAAATGCAGTCTAACACCAATTCTATAATTAGTCCACTACAGGCGTCCTGGTGTGGCACCGTAGGATAAGCACTTGACCTCAGGGTCTGTTTGAATCGCAAGTTCAGTGGTTCAAACTCACTAGCTGCTCCTCAGACACCCTATACAGGGTTGCTATTAGTTGGAACTGACTTGACAGAATTTAACAACATAACACAACATTAATCCTAAGGACTCCTTGTGTGGTGCTGTAGGATAAACACTGAACTGCAAACCACAAGGTCAGAAATTCAAGCCCACCAGCAACTCTTTGGAAACCCTATACAGGGTTGCTGTGAGTCATAACCAACTTGACAGCTCTTAACAACAAAATAGTAATCCTGGAGTCCTGGTGTGACACTGAAGGATAAACACTGGACTGCTAACCAAAAGATCGGAACTTCAGACCCACCAGACACTCCTTGTAAACCCTATGCAAAGTCTGTACGAGTCAGAACCAACTCAACAGCACCTAATAACAACAACAACAGATAACCCTCAGAAGATTGACACCGGTCACAGGGTCCAATGGAGAGGGCTGAGAGACTTTCTGAGACTGCTTCTAAGTTCCTTCGTTAGCCCTGATGTCAATTCATGATGGAGATTTTAAAGACTTCAGCTTATGGTACTCAAATCATAATAATTCATGTTCATGTGTAATCACATTTTAGGTCATTAAGAGAAAAAACTCGCTTTTCCCCGAGTTGGGCAATGGGTAAGTCTGGATCTACCTACTGAGTAACTATAAAAGTAAATCAAAGAGCTGTGTGCTTACCTGGTATCATTTTTTACAGGATTCTAATTGCTCCCATTCTGAGTTGTAAAAGACATAGATCTGATTTCAACAGCACTCAAGGGATTAACAATTAAAGATGTGATGACAGTGTTATAGAAAAACAAATCTGCATTAGACAAAGCAACATTTATGGGATGTAAAGGTATGTGTTATCGGAGGGTTTCAGGAGAAAGGCCCTAGGGTTTCAGGGAAAACATGGAAGTGTCCTGGAGACCAGGGCTCTAGTTCTAGTTCTACCACTGACCATTTGACAACGGTACCTTGATCTCACTATCTATAAGGTGGAATAGAAGAATTACTGCCTTGCTATTTTATATACATGTATGCTGTTGTTAAGGAGCTCTGGTAGCGTAGTGGTTACGAATCGGGCTGCGAACCTTAAGGTCAGCGGTTTGAAACTACCAGCCGCTCCGTGGGACAAAGATGAGGTTTTCTACTCCCGTAAAGATTTACACCCTGGGAAACCCTGTACAGGGTTGCTACGGGTCGGAACCGACTCGACGGCACTTAACAACAACAACATGCTGTTGTTAGAATCAGCACTGGACTGAAACTACAAGGTCGGCAGTTCAAATTCACCAGCTACTCCTCAGAAACATCATGCAGGGTCACCTTGAGTCCGAACCACTATGAGTTGGAACTGACTCGATGGCAATTAATAACACAAATATAACAAAAATCAAACCCACAGTTGACAAGTTGATTCTGACTCTTAGAGTCCCTCTGGGATAGAGGAGAACTGTCCCACAGGGTTTCCAAAGCTATAATCTTTATGAGAATAGACTGTCAGATTCTTTTCTTGTGAAGTGGCTGGTGATTTCAAACTTGCACCCTTTCAGTTAGCAGCCAAACTTTAATGAGTGTGCCACCAGGGGTCCTATATAGAGATGTATAATGGGGTCCTGGTATGACACTGTAGGATAATCCCTGGACTGCTAACCACAAGTTCAGCAGTTCAAACTCACCAGCCACTCCTTAGAAACCCTATACATGTTCACTGTGTGTCAGAACCAACTCGACAGCACTTAAAAACAGCAACAGATAAATAAATAACTTTGGTGAAATAATATATGAAAGGCATACTCATTTATGGTAAATCTAGATATTCTGCTTTAATTCAAACTATTTGAATCAATTATTTATTTATTTAAACATTTTTATTGTGAATTAAGGAGCTCTGGTGGCCTAGTGATTACGAGTCAGGCTGCTAACCTCAAGGTCGGCAGTTCGAAACTACCAGCCATTCAGTGGGAGACAGAAGAGGCTTTCTGCTCCCGTAAGATTTACAGCCTCGGAAACCCTGTACAGGGTCGCTATGTGTCGGAACCAACTCCACGGCACATCCCCACCATTGTGAATTGGGTGAAGGTTTAGAGAGCAAATCAGTTTTTCATTCAACAATTCATACACATTGACTGTAATACTCACCGTGTACCATCACTCATGCCACTGCCTTCCTGTGCTTACCACTGTCGTCTCTCCTTCCCTAACCCTCCCTGCTTTCTGAACTTTGTCCTTTTAACCTCAAATGTTTGATTATCCCAAAGAGTGCATACCTCCCTATTGTTACTGCTCACCTTGTAGACCTGTCTATTGTTTGTCTGAAAACTAAGCCACAGTGTTGAGTTCAGTTCCAGGCCTGATGGGTGACTAAGGACCCCAGCCCCAGAGGTTCCATCACTCTCTATCACCCAGTCAGCCTGGCCTTTTTTATGATTTTGAGTTTTGCTGCACATTTTTCTTTCACCCTATCCAAGACCTTCTAATGTAACCCCTTTCAGAGCAGCTGGTAGTGGTAGATAGGCACCATCTAGTTCTTCTGGTCTCAGGGTGGTGGAGAATGAAGTTCATATATATGGTCCATGACTCCACTGGACTGATTGTTTCCACACATCTTTAATCTTCTTCACTCTTCTTTGTTCTGGATGCGGAGACACCTTAGATGACTGCTTGCCAATTTATGTCCCAGTAGCTGTTTACCCAAGTAGGATACAGAACAATGTCTTTGTGAACTATGGTATGCTCTCTTTCTTTTGCTTTGATGACATTCATGTGTGACTTTCCTCTTTCTCCTTCAGTGCAAACACATACCAGAAAGCAAGGAGTTGAACAGGTTGAATAATAGGAAATTCCCTATCAGCTATTTCACATGACTCAACCTAATATAAAGATTGGGAAATACTGGTTATCAGACCTTCATCCAGTGACATTAGACTCAGATACCAAAACATCTCAAGATGTCAAGGTTTGCCAAAAGTGAACCGAGGATTGACAGACCAGACAAAAGATGGTCTAGTTTCTTTTCTTCTTCAGTATGAGGTTAAGTCAAAAAGTATTGTAAAAATCACAGAAACCTTTATTAAACAAAGTATCAAACTGTGAAGCAGGTGTTCCTCAGCATATCCTCCAACTACATCTATACACGTCTGAAGGCAGTGGTTTACCTCTCTTATCATTCCTTAAAGAATTCTGGGCTCTTTGATTTGTATCACATCAAAACAGCTGTGTTGGCATCCTCAAGGAACTCAACTCATGCTCCTTTGAAATGTTCTTTGAGTTTGGGGAACAAAAAGAAGTCTGAAGGAGAAAGATCAGGGCTATAGGGTGGAGGGGTAAGGTTTCCTTATCAAATTTTTGTAGGACAGTCCTTGCTAGTCTTGAAGAACGAGAAGACGTGTTGTTGTGATGGAAAAAATTCTTCGGTGCAACTTTCCTGGCTTTTTCCTCACTAATACAGTTTTCTTCAAATTTCTTCATAATGTTATTAAGTGCCATTGAGTCGGTTCCAACACGTAGTGACCCTGTGTAGAGGTTCCAAGGAGCGGCTGGTAAGTTTGAACTGCCATTTTGTGATCTGATCTGAGCAGCCAATCAGTTGAAAGATATATTTCCCTGGGGGTGTGGCCTGCATCCAGGATATAAACAGATATTCTGGCAGAGCTCTAGCTCTCTCTCTTGCCCTTACATCAGACCTCTGGTTCTTGGATGTAAGCCAGTAGAGGCCTCAGGCCTGCTGCCTGACCTGCAGTTTTGGGGTCTGTCATCCCCTGCAACTACGTGAGACATCAGAGGTTGCCAGCTGTCCCACAGATATGGTACTTTGCAGTCCTCACAATTGAATGAGTCATTTTCTTGAAGTAAATATATATCTATATCTATATATACATACACTTCACTGGTATTACTCCTCTACAACACCAATGAACAGACTGTTGTTGATAACATTAAGTGCCGTCAGGTTGATGCTGACTTATAAATGCCCTTGTATAGGGTTTCCTAGGAGCAGCTAGTGGGTTTGAACCACTGACCTTGGAGCTAACAGTCCAGTGTTTATGCTACAGTGCCACACCAAGACTCCTTGAGTCCAATAATCTTACCTGCTGGTTTGATCTGGCATCATTGAAATTCACTTTTTTCCCCAAGTCTACAATCACTGCATTCTTAGTTTCACGAATATAATCATTGTTAACTGGTTGAGGAGACTTTGTATTTTTCTTCAATAGTCCCTGAGGTGGCCTATGAAAGAAATTCACATCAGACACACCCATGAAAAGCATTGGTGGACATACAAAGGTTTAGAAATCAGATTGGTTGAAATGGCAACCAGATGCCAGAATTCATTCAGCATTTATGGGGGCACTTACATGCAAAAGTGAGCATTGTACAGAGAAACTTTGCTTTTAGAGGTGACTTCAATATCTCTATTTTTAAGTAGAGGGCCAGTGAAAATGAGACAAACCATCAATGAGATGGGTTGACACAACAGCCACCGCAACAGACTCAAACACACCAACAAGTGTGAATGTGGCACAGGACCAGGCAACGTTTCCTTCGCCATGAGCCCTCATGGGTAAAGGTTTACAGAACTAGCAACGAGATTCATCCAATTATGTAAAGTGGTCAGGATCTTTGTCCTAAGGTATTTAATACTCCTTTTGTGTCTAAGAGATAGCATGATTTAGGAATCCACTAAATGAAAGTTTTATCCCAGATCAAACTACTCTGTCCCCTCTCAACTGGCATCTCTTACACCAAAAAGCCTCAGTGACACTTACAAGGAGGGTGCGCTTCTGGGCAGCCCCATGGCATTGGTAGGTGGGATGGTAGGAAGAGAAGGCAGAACAGAGCTGAGGAAAGCCACTGGGTTCTGGATCCTGCTGGTGGGAGAGACAGGAGTTGGGGACACACAGTGGGGCTGAAACTGGTTTCCACTGGAGATGGAAAACATGAGTGGAGGTTGTGCTGGCTCTGTTGGACCTGGAGGAAGTGGCTCACTTTGGGTGGAAATCCCTCCTGAAGATTTGGTTTGCATGGAGGGGTGAAAAACTAAGAGACTTTCTTTGCTCACTGTCCTCTGAATGCCTTGTGGAGCACTACTCAGGCTGAATACTGGAGAGCTGGAAGGGGACGTGCTTGCCACAGAGGTGTTCGTGGAGGGGAAGAAGTGCTTTGGCCGGGCCAGGCTGAAGGTTTGAGATGATGGGGCCTTCACCGGCTTGGTGGATATTGTCATTGAAGGGGAAGCAGTCATGCTGAAAGGAGACTCCTTAGGAGATGAAGTAGTTGGGCTTTGCAACTGCTGTTGTTCCAGCAAGACTTGGTTGTGAAGTTGCTGTAACTGACTGGAATCACTGTACGCAAACAAAAGTAGGGAGAAAAAGGGGACATCTGTTAGCATTGGCCTCATCCTTCATAAACGTACCGATAGGCTGTTTATGACTTTGTTGTTGTTAGTTGTTATGTGCTTTCGAGTCGATTCTGACTCATAGCGACCCTGTATAGGATTTCCAATAGGGAGCTCTAGTAGCGTAGTGGTTATGAATCAGGCTGCGAACTGCAAGGTTAGCAGTTCGAAACTACCAGCTGTTCTGAGGGAGAAAGATGAGGCTTTCTGCTCCTGTAAAGATTTACAGCCTCGGAAACCCTGTACAGGGTCGCTATGAGTCAGAATTGACTCCACGGCACATAACAACAACAACAACAACGGGTTTCCAAGGAAAGTGACTGGTGAGTTTGAACCAGCAACTTTGTGGTTCAAACCAACCTTGCAGTCCAGCACAGTAATCCACAGCACCACACCAGGATTTCATGCTGATTAAAAAACATAATCAGAGGGGCCAAAACTCAGCTAATTACTGGTGAGTTGTTTGCACGTCTCTCCATCTTTCCACGTCTATTTTATTGCTAGTAAGATGGACAAAAGGGAGACAGTGGCCGCGACAATGGACTCAAGCACAGCAACAATTGTGAGGCGTGCATAGACTGGGCCCTCAGGATCGCTATGAGTGGGAACCAACTCCACGGTATCCGACAACCGACTTTCTACTGTAGCTAAGTCAGAAATACCAAGTAACGCTGTCACTGTTAACCATAGTTGTAAATGATTGTAAAAACCAACCTAAGACAGCCTCTTCTTGGACCTCCATCTATGGAGAGACATTTTAAGTGTAAGTCGGACTTCTGGTGTGGCGCTGTAGGATAAGCACTGGACTGCGGACCACAAGGTTGGCAGTTCAAACCCACGAGCTGCTTCTCAGAAACTCTTACAGGGTCACTAGGAGTCAGAATCAACTCGACGGCACTTGACAACAACATTTTAAAAAAATAGAGGTTTTGGAGTGGTCTGGTTATAAAAGTAAAGCTCTTACAAGAAACATTTTAAAGTCTAGAAAGGTATGAAGAGAAGAATAAAGTCTACTTTTATAGTCATTTTCTTGAAATAACCTTCTGTTAAGATTTGCATGCAAGTTACTTGCAGAATCTTGGAGACCTTTTTCATCTCTTCACTCACATGTGTACACATACACATGCAACTATCCTTAGACATAGTGTTTCTTTAACAAATGGAACCCTTTTCTATGTATGACTTTGAAACCAGCCCTTTTCACTTAGCAATATAAAATGAACATTTTTCTAAATGAACAAATCTGCACCATCATTTTTCATGGCCATTTAATAATCTGTGTTATGACTGGACTACAGCAATCCTTTATTGTGGAACATGCAGCTTAGTTTTAATTTCTAAACAATGCTGCAATGAAAAGCCATGTAGACACCTACTTGTTTTCTTGTCTGATAATTTTTCTAACATAGATTAATATAAACAGCATTATTAGATTAAATTAAAGGCATATATTAACATTTGTATATTTTTAGCCAAGCTGTCCTTTGGAAAGGTTGTCCCGATTTATACTAATGCAAGCAATCTGTACATAAGAGTTCTTGTTTTTTTCATATTCTAGTCTTAACAGTAGTCTAATATTTTGTCATTGATTTAGTGACAAAAATAGCCATTATTTTATACCTTTTATTATTGCTAGTGATATTGAATATATTTTATAATGTATATTACCAGTTATTTTTCCTGGTAGTTTATTGGTAGGGGCAGAGCAAATGGACTTGTAGGTCATGATAAAGAGTTTGAATTTATTCTAAGTTAATAGGAAACAGTTTGAAGATTTTAAGGAAATTAATGAAATAATTTAATTTGTCTTTTAAATATATTACTCTAGCAGCTATTGGAAAATGGACTACATAGTAAGGCAAAGGAAAAAATTGAGAGATCAATTTTAATGTTAATACACTGGACCAGGTAAGAAATGGTGGCAGACTGGGAGAAGTAGAGATAGAGAGAAGTGGACAGATTCAATATACATTTTTTAGAAGAGAGCCAACAGAACTGGTGTTGGATTGGACATGGGAGATAATGAAGAGAAGGAGTTAAGAATGAATCCTAGGGGTCTGACTTGAGCTGATAGATTTAATGGGGCACTGCTTATAAGATGTAGACGAGTGGAAGAAAAACAGATGTAGAAGCGTTCTTTTTGGATATGCTAAGTTGAAATATCCAAGTGAAGACGTTAAGCAGACCATTGAATATACTAGTAGGGAGCTCATAAGATAGGGCTTCGAGAATCATCAATTTGTAAGCTATAGGACTAAATATGATCACCTTTGTGGAGAGAATGTAGCTATAGAAGAACCCAGGGTTGTACCCCATGGTCGAGAAAAAAATTGAAACTAGCAAAGGAGACTTAGAAGGAATAATGAGTGAAGTGTTATGGAAACGGAGAGAAGAAAGTATTTCACAAAGAAGGGAAACATCATCAATGATGTCAAATTTTGCTAAAAGAGAGAATAGGGAAGACAGGAAAGAAGCGAAGAGAAGGATGGGCTGAATTTTTTTAACATGGAGAATCTGAAGCCCATTTTTAAACAATTTTAAACATCTTACCTGAAGCCCATTCGAATGGTACTATGAAGATACTATGGAGATGTAATCTAATTTGTGGACTACTGCTAATAGAAACCCTAAAGCAGTAATGAAATCTCTTTTGGATGTGTGATGTATAGCATCTATAAGTGTTACCTCATGAAATATGTTGCTCATTATCAAGAGGGTCCGTAAGACCAGACCTGAAAAAGTGAGGTAAAGGTCTAAAAGAGATATGGGAAAGACTCTGAAATAAATGGGAAACTCGATCCTTAACACACCCTTTCTTCAGTCTTCTTTTATTTACCATCGTTCTGAAGATATGAAGAAGAACCAAAGAAATGTTTGGAATAACTTACAGAGGTATTTAAATACAATTGAATCCAGCAGTTTAGAAATTAATCATAATAACTGGAAAACTATTAATATATCCTTCCTACCACAGAACTTAATCATTATTTTTAAAAATTAAAATAGCATATGATTATTTAAAAAAAAATTTTTTTTAATGTTGTTGCTGTTATTAAGTGCCTTGGAGTCAGTTCTGACTCATAGTGACCCTGTATAGGGTTTCCCAGGAGCAGTTGGTGGGTAGTGGTCCAGTGCTGATCCTACAGCACCACACCAGGACTCCAAATTAAAAAATGCTGGCATGTAAGTCACTAGTATGATAACAATAGTTATAGTGGAAGAATTATGATTGATTTTTCTTCTGTGTTTTCCAAATTTTCTGAAATGAGTGTTTTGCTTTCAGCTACTAAACCAAAAGATTGGCAGTTTGAATCCACTCAACGGCACTTCAGACAAAAGGCTGGGTGAGAGACTTCCATAAAATTATGCTGTTGTTATTATGTGCCGTCGAGTTGATTCCGACTCACAGTGACCCTATGTAGGGTTCCTAGGAAACCCTATAGAGCCGTTCTCTCTTGTAACACATAGAGTTGCCATGAGCTGGAATTGATTTGAGTCACAATGAGTCAGAAGCAGTAACTCGAAGGCACTTAACAACAACAACAACAACCGGGTTGTACAGCTTCAGGGGCATCATTCACACTCTTTGTGCCATGCAGTCTGCAGTTGTGCAATATGGCGGCTCTATAAACATGAAGGATGTTTATAGATTGTTGTTATTGTTGTTAAGCGCTGTTGAATTGGTTCTGATTCATAGTGACTCTGTACACAGTTTCTGAGAAGTGATTGGTGAGTTTGAACCACTGACCTTGAGGTCAAGTGCTTATCCCACAGTGCCACATAGAACAAAAAGTTCTTCTTTTTAGCAGTTCTCAAAGTTTTGATGACCTGGAGACAGTATTTCAGCTTTGGGATATAAAACATTGATGTGCGTTACGGAAGGGAAATTAATTTCAAGAGATGGTACTATGTCCCTTACGCTGCCTGGTGTGAGAGAAACCCTCAAAAAAGAACAGAGAGTGTCTTGTCTTCATCATCTCTTGGCTCAAAACTTTATTGATAAGATGATCATATGTCCTGATTCAGCCAACGCAGATCCAGTTTATGCCGGTTTTCCCAGCACAGTTATTAATAGTGCTCACTTCCACTCTAAATTGCCCTTGTTTGAATGATAAATACGGTCATTCTAATTACGAACATTGCCTTAAACTTTTCTTGTTGTTCCTAAACTGAGAAAGAAGATCAGGCTGGGAGCAGTCTCTCCATTTATAGGAACCTGAGTCACAGAGGCATCACATGACTGGCCTTAAGTCCCACAGACACTTCTGTCCTTGAAAGAGGAGATGAGTTTTTCCATGTATGCTATTTAATTTTTCTTTATATTGTTGTTGTTGTTAAGTGCCGTCAAGTTGGTTCAGATTCATAGTAACTCTGTGTAGGATTCCCAATGAGAGGCTGGTAGATTTGAGGTTAATAGTCCAGTGCTTATCCTGCAGCACTACACAAGGCACAGTTAATTGGTTGCTTTTGAGGAATGAAAATGTTTTAAAGTCAAATATGCATAAAGTTGCCAGGGCTACCAAACTTTGGTGTTTAGAAGTCCTTACTCTTGAAGACCACTGGCTAACTTCAAGCCCACTGAGGTTTTATAGAAGAGGTATTTGAGTTACATCAGAATTGACTTATGATGGGGTTGTCAGAATGCAACCCTGGAAACTACCATTACAGTGTAACCTTTGAAAGCTGGAACTTGACGGGACAGCCTTGATTTTCTGAGTTTCAGAGGTTTTCCACCATTGACAAGGTGCAATCTACCACTTTTCTATCACTTGGTTTGGTGGAAAATACTTGAGTTTTCCTGATCTGATAGGTTTCTGTCTTATATAGATCCCAGTATTTACAGGCTTAACTATACATGTTGCTTTTGGAACACACAAGATAACCTACTGAGTAAGTGATCTATTAAAATGTAAATGTTTCATTTTTCACACCATCAGCAAAGTCAAT